TCTCCTACTCTTCTGCCATCTTGCTCCTCTGGATTATATGGTAATTCTATTTTAAATTTTCTGATGAACCTCCATACCTCTTTTCATAGTGGCTGTACCAGTTTGCATTCCCTTCAACAGCACACAAGGCTTCCCTTTTCTCTGTGACATAACCAGCATTTGTTGTCTATTGTTGCTTTGATGATAGGCACTGTAACAGGTGTGGGGTGGTATCTCATTGTGTTTTTGATTTGCATTTCCCTAATGATTAATGATGTAGAGCATCTTTTGCTGTACCTATTGGCCATCTGTATGTTTTCTTTAGACTAATGTCCATTCTAGGGTGCTTGGGTGGCTCAGTTGGTTAAGCATCTGACTCATGATTTCTGCTCAGGTTATGATCTCAAGGGTGGTGAGATCAAGTCTGCATCAGGCTTTGTGCTAAGTAGAGAGTCTGCTTGAAGTTTCTCTCCCTCTGCCCCTCCTCCTACTCTCTCTTAAATCTTTAAAAAGTAATGTCTATTCAGATATTCTACCCATCTTTAAATCGATTTTTTTTTTTTTTGCTGTTCAAGTGTGTGTTCTTTATACATTTTGGATATTGATCCCTTATCAGATATATGGTTTGCAAATATTTTTTTCTCATTCTGTAGGTTTTCATTTTGATAATTTTGCTGTTCAACCAATCCAAAAAATCATTGCCAAGGCCCAGCTTTTTCCCTATGTTTTCTTTTAAGAGTTTTATGGTTTCCATTCTTACATTTAAGTCTTTAATCCATTTCAAATTTTTCTTATACCACTCATAAAAATTGAGATCTAGTTTCAATCTTTTATATATAAATATTCAGTTTTCCTAGCACCATTTATTTGAGGGACTATCTTTTCTCCAGTGAGTATGCTTGGCTCCCTCACCAAATCTTAGTTGACCTTATATACATGAATTTATTATGGGACTCTTGATTCTGTTTCCTTGATCTTTCTGTTTTTATGCCACCGTGCCATTTTGATGACTGCACCTTGATAATATAGCTTGAAATCAGGAAGTGTGATGTCTCCTACTTTGTTCTTCTTTCTCAGGATTGCTCTGGCTCTTTGAGGTCTTTGGTGGTTCTGTATGAATTTTAGGATTGTTCTTTCTACCGCTACCAATTTCCATTGGACTTTTGATAGGTATAGCAATTAATTTTTAGATTGCTTTGGGCACTACGGATATTAACTCTTCTGATCCATGAACATGGGATTCCTTTCAATTTATTTGTGTTGTCTTTGATTTATTTCATCAGTGTCATATAGTTTTCAGTGTATAGATCTTTCACTTCCTTGGTGAAAACATACCAGCTGCAAACAAAATCTTACTTCTTTCTTTCCAACTTGGATGCCTTTTGTTTCTCTTCTTGCCTGACTGTACTGGCTAGGACTTCTAGTACTATGCTGAATAGGAGTATTAAGAGTGGGTACCTTTGTCTTAGGTTGAAAGCTTTTCCTTTAAGATCAAGACTTTCACCATTGAGTATGATGTTGGTTGTTGTATGTGGCATTTACTTTATGTTGAGGTTTGTTCCTTTTATACCTAATTTGTGTTGAGTTTTTTAAAATCATAAATGGATGTTGAATTTTGTCAAATGTATTTTCTGCGTCTATTCAGATACCACATTCTATTAATGTGATGTATTCTGAATCATCCTTGCATCTCAGGGTTAAATCCCATTTGATCATGGTAAATGATCCTTTTAATGTACTCCTGGAATTTGGTTTATACCTGGAAACATACATCTTAGAAAAGCAAATATGTGGGCCCCACCCCAGATCTGCTGAATCAGAAACTTTGAGAGAAGGGCCTAGCAAACTGTGTTTTAATAAACCCTCCAAGTGATTCTAATGCTGAAATTTGAAAACCGCAAGTTTATAGCAGTGTCCTATATCTGAAGTTACAATTCATAACAGCATTTGAGCTTTTCCTACTGCCAAAGAGTTGCCTACCTCATGCTTTTCTACATTAGTCTTAATTGTTTCACTTTGTTTCCCTCTGATTTTGGTACACAAAACTTTCATTTACTTCTAAATGTTTTGTACTTTTTATTTCATTTTTGATATTCTCCCCCCTCCGTGTATGGGGTTCAGGTAAATAATCTAATTTTTGGCTTCTAATTGTGTTTTAGCAAGTGAATTTAATCTGTGATAGGTTTTGGGGGATTGTATAGTTTTCTTTTGTGGCATAATTCAAAGCAAATATTCCGTTGTCTTTGAAAAGACAATACATTCCATGTTTCTGTATAGGAATACATGTATATGAATGCTAATTATTCATGTTATGCATTTCTTCTGTCTACTTAAGTTTCAAGAGGTATATTATGTGTCCAATTACAATTGTAGGTATGACGATTCCTCCCTGTAATTCTCTTTTGATATAAAGTTACAGGCATACCCTAATATGGTGAAAGAAAAAGGAACATTTCAGCAATATGCTATTCCTTCTTTGTTTACAGAATTCAAGACAAAATATTTGCTTTTGTCATCTTTTTATGAAAAGGAGTCTTTAGTATCTTTTAATTTCAACTTTTGGTGTAAAGGCCTCACCTCTAAAAGCAACAATTGGTCTCATATTTATTGTGATTACAGATACACATGCTCTTCTTTTTCCCCCTTTCCTGATTTTTGTCGAAATGATCAAGTTTTCTATAGTTTTAACAACGATATAGTCTAGTTCCAATATTCTTGTTATGCCTCTTTCTCTGGGGGAAATTCGATAATAAGGTTTCAAGTTAATCTAGGTTTTCTTTTCTTCCTGAAAAACTTCCCACCTTTTATTCTCACTGCTCCCAAAAGTCTGAAATTTTAATTCTTGCTTGCTATAGAACTTTTCTATAGAGGAAATTCTTTGGTGATATTTTAGTAAGTCTGGGGTTAGTAAACTTGACGTATGGCTTGAGAACACCTCTGTCCTCACACTTGAAAGCTCTGTATCTCAGTCTCATAATTGTGTGCTCATCTTCTATGGGAAAATACTCCTGTGACCAAAGGTCTTTGCTTGCCTCTCTTGCTTTCTACTCCCGAATTTTATTTCAAGTAATAGACTCCAGAAGGAAGGGTGTAGCATGGGAGGCCATGGTTTTGCTATTCTGAACTGGATTTAACCTCCGATCCTGCTGATTATGGCAACAACTCCTCGTCACCCTGCTCACCAGGCTATTCTCTCAGCTAACCATAGGAAATCATTCCTAAATGACAGGTACATCTGCTTGTGCCAGTGCACAGCGGGAGGACAGAAAAGAAAAAAAAACAGATGATTCCCATGATCAAAAGGCAGAGAGATTTGTGAACAGATTCTGATTCTCAATCAAGGTCTGCAAAGGAGAAGAACTACTAGAAAGGTGAGGAAATACGGATCCTGCCCCTTGAGCTGCAGTTGGAAAACAATAGCACTTGATTGACCACAAAAAAAATGCAGACTGGGCTTAGCCTCAGGTTGGTAAGAAGCAGGTGTTGCTCTAAATCTATAATGTAATAGAATTACCAATTTTCCTAAGTGGGCTGTAATTATAACTGATTGGAGGTTGTTTCTGCTTGCTTTATTTTTTAAATTCAAATGCCCCTGAAAACACGTTATTAGAAGATTTCCCCATGTGCAAGAAGGTCAATGATATTGTTATGAGTCAGCCAGAGTAATCTCCATACATGGGGAGATGTGATAAGGTAAGCTTTAAAACTAGGTGGGATTCAGGATAGGACACAGATAGGCACTTCATTCGGGTGAGGTAGGGAAAATGGGAGATGAGACATTTTATTTCAGACTACACACCTTACAAATGTCTTATTCATTATTAAATAATGAAGCACCCAGAAGAGAAGATATCCATAGCCAATGAAAATAAAATTTTAAAAATAGATTTATACTAACTCTATACCTGTGCACCTTAGGTACATCACTCAAATCCCAAATAATGTGGCGTGGGGAAATCAGAGAGGTGAGCACAAGCCCTTGCACTGGAAAGATCTTTAGAAGGAGGGAGCCAGCCAGTTTGCCTTCATACTGGAAAGATGCCTGTGTCTTTTTAGAACCTGGGTCCACAGAGGTCATTTCTGAGTTGAATAGGAGCATTATCAGAAGTGAAACATCTGAGGCAAGCCAATGAATAACTTTCAAAAGTAGAAGAAAGAGTATCTAGGTATGCTGAGGTGACCCAAAAAGCAGTGGAAGAGAACCTGCCAGAGTTCACAGACTGCCTGCTTTTGACAGTCTACAGCAAACTTGCCCATTTTCTGCCAGTAAATAGGTACATGTCTGAAACGGCAAGCTGCTTAGGCAAGGCACCTGCTTCTTACTGCTTAACAAGAATAATTCCGAATTACGGTATTGCAGCTGTCAGCGCTCTTTTTAAAAAGCAAGTAAAGCAACACAGACTCCTTCTTCGGCCAACAAATGAGCGTTAGCACTCTCCGCCATGGCTTAGTGTGACTGCCATGACGTCCCCGGAGCACCGGAGGTCACACGGCTGCCAGGGAGCACGTCCACAAGCCAGCATTGGTTACCTCTGCCTCAGCCACAGACTGGCATGGCCGGGAAAAAAACCACAGTTCTCATTCGGACCAAGAGAAATGTACACTGTCTAAACAGCCTTATGCTTTCCTCTGTGGATTATTATGGACATGAAACCTAGAAATGCATTTAAGCACACTCAAGTCTTTGAACCCTATCTTATAAATACAGAAGAGGGTACAGCCCGTCTTCCTCCTTGAATGGACAACTTGGTCTGTAAATTCCTGAATTATTCCCCAGATCAAGTAAGGGAGGGATTAGCGGTAGCGATGGGGCCGGGTCCCCGCCCATTCGTCCCAAGCTAAGGGAGGAGGCAGTGATTCTAAACCAGCTCCCCTCGCCTCAGATTATATCTGGCCAGCCGTCTGGGGATGAAGCGACACGTTTCTTTCAGGGAACACAAACCATTGCCGTGGCTCAATATTACAAGAGACATGGATGGTTTAATTAGTTGTTTAAATGAGTGACAAGAAATTGTACTTACCCAACAGGCTTTTCCCCTTGCTCAGCTTCTGAATCCTGTTCATTTCATTCTGGCAAGGGAGACCTAAAAATAATTTATGAAAGTCAGTTTCCAGATGCTGCGGGGCATAATCTCTAATGATTGGCTTCACTCGTGAAGCCAATTTCACAAGTGAAATGTACACAATGACACACCTGGGACTGGAATTACTCCATATGCTGCTGTTATACAGCAAAACAAATTCAGGCCATTAGTGTTACTAAAAAAAAAAAAAAAAAAACTTACACTGTGAGGTACTTAAATAGTATTTGGGGGCTACTGGCATTGTATACTAATTTTTCTGCCCACCCTCAATGGAAGCAAATGCTAGGTGCCAACTAGGTGATCTGGTAATAGACATTTTAATCAGCTGAGAACCAGGACCAAAGATTCCTAGTGGTTAAATGTTCTGAATGCCCACACGGGAGCAGCTAACCAGAGGGAAGGTGACAAATACTTCATGTACCCCAGGTCTTGCTGCAGGAGACAGAGAGGATTAGACCTTTGGGCTCACTACCCCAGGAAAGTACAACACATGCCTCAAGGGACAACTATGAAGCTATCTGAGATATGTAGAGAAGCAGTGAATGGAGAAAAGGGAAACCTTAACTCTCAGCTCTGCCACCTCACAGCTGAATGCTTGGGGCAAGTCTCTCTCTCAGCCTCCAAGTCCCCAGTTATAAAACACCTTTGTGGTGAAGGACTGATACAGTGGGAGCCACACAGCTAAGTAGGGCAGACAGGAGTGTGTGGTTCTCCTGTCTCCCGAGAACTTAGTCCATTCTGAGCTTAAAGCAAGATGGCCTCACCCGTCTTGAGTGTTACCATGAGTTGGCTGTGCACGTCCTGTGGCTGGGGGAGGCTCTGCTATGTGCTCAAGGGCCTTACACTACTTCTGTCCAAGCAACGTTGGGGCCTGTAGTAAATACCCAAGTACCTTTTTACATCTGTTACCCTGTACCCTGTCTTGCTGCTTGTTCCTTGAGAGAAGCTAACAAATTTTGTTCACTTCTGGGTTTAAGGTGCCTTCTGAGTATAGGAGAAAGACGCCAACTGAAAACAAGCAAGGAAAAGGGGAAACTAATTCCATCTTTGACAATTAAAGGTAGCATTTACTAGGACACACGTACCAGAAAATGTTCCAGAATTTACAACAACCCCACAAAGTAGGTACCATCATTCCTCCTTTGCAAATGGAAAGGGTCCTTTTTGTGTGAAACCATAGGCATTTGGAAGACTATTCCAAGACACCACAAGTCACCTGCATTCACACGTTCCTCAAAATGTCCCACGGTAATTGTAAAAATTCTACTTCTCTTTCAGCAAGGAAACATGAATCAGGCTGAGACCTACTAGAAGGTGCTGCAAGAAAAACAGTCAAGAGGGAGACCAAACGCCAGGTTAAGAATTCTAACAGAAAAAAATGTTGGCTGCTGAGCAGAGACAAGCGTTACCGAAGACTCCTCTAAGTAGTCAAGGATGCCTGTGAAAAAGACACTCTGTGAGACCAGAGATCAATGCAGAGAAGGACAAAGGAAGTTTGTTTCTGAAGCAGCAGAAGTCAGGTGTAACATCCATGGTACTGATACTCCCATGGGAAGACTAATCAAATGGAACCAGAGTGTTAATTCCACAGCTTAAAGATGCATGACATGTCCCCGGGAAAACGGTTACATACAAACCAAGACATGTCCAAGGAAATTCATGTCTTCCAAAGGGAAAAGAATTGGCATGGGTTCCCATTATTGTATAGTTAAACCGAGTGCTAGGAGCATCGTATTTAAAGATAGCAGTATAAGAAACTCCGGCTCTAAGACGTTTATACTTAGCATCTTTGGTTCTGTATTAAAAAAAGCAAACAGCAATATTTACAAATATTCAAGTGTTATTTCAAGGAATAGAATTCCAGTGAGAATTTTTGAAAAAAAGTTCTAAAACCCAAACGTAAAACTAAAGAAAAATAACATAATCCTACCACATGTAAAATTATAAAAATATGCTCTCAAAATTTTGGGGGGCCTAAGAGGCACTCAGAGCCTTAATTGCAGAATATCTACACATTTATCCTAGTAACAATACCACGTATGGAATACCTATGGTCTATAGCTAAACGAGTGCCTCAGAAAAAATTTTAGCCTTGAATACACACATTAATCAACAGGAAATAATGAAGAAATGTGGAGAGCACGCAGAATTCCCAGAACTGGTTCTGGGTCAGGGAGGGAGGTGGTGGGAACCCAACAAAATATAAAGACGCTTACTTAAGAAAAAGAGGGAAACGCGCAAAATAAGAAAGAACTACAACACAATGACTCTGTACTTGGCCCAACTTCTCCTACCTAGATGCCATCATGTGCCATTCGAGGGGGTTCTGGCCTCCCTCAGCCGTTGCTCAAAGGATGGCCCACCCAGGGAAGCCACATGGCGCGGTGACCACCTCTGTCCTTTAGTAAAGGCGGTAAGCCTCACCCTCGGGGTCCTGGCGTTCACGCCTCGGAGGGAGGCGTGAGCACTGAGGCTTTGCTTACGTAGGTTAAGCCTGAACCCTGGCTACAGTCACAGGAGATTATATGGACTCAAGCCCAAAGCCATCTTAATCCTCAGTACTGGATCACTCCAAGTATTTCTATTAAGATAAGAATATGGCTATTATTCAACACTAATTTGGAAGTACCAGCTGAGAGGATGGGAAAAGAGATGAGATATAAAAACAGAAAAAGAAAAACATGATTACTTCGCAGAGGATACAACTGCACACCTAAAAAATCAACGGAAACCAACCAGAATAATTATTACAAACAAAAGGAGAATTTAGTAAGGTGCCTGTGAACAAAATGAATCCTGAAACAACCACCAGCAAAGAAATATAGTGGGGAAAAAAAATCAATTTCGTTTACAAGGAGGATAAATACAAGGGAAGTATAGTATCTGTGGGAACAAAACTTAAAAAGGTAACTCTGTTGGTTAATAGATGCTGTTCTAGAATCAAAGGATTCAATGTTACATAGCTATCAATTCTCTCTAGATTAGTAAGACGTGTAACAATAAGCATAAGAATATCCAGGAAAATTCTGAAAGATCAGTGGCAGGAGAGGAGGCCCCCCCTAGATGTAGGAATAGGCAGATATAGATGAAGAAATTTTATATACAATAGAGGAAGCATTCAAATTAGAGGAAGATGGGTTAGTCAATAAACGACAGAAACGTAACTGAACAACCCTCTCCAGGGGTGGGGGTAGGGCCTGGGACCCCACCTGACCACACACGGAAAAAATCTAAAGTGATACAAGATTTCAACAGACAACCAACCAACCAAAAGGTACTGATGAAAACACAAACACAAGAGAATTGCTTTCGTATTTCATGGTACAAAATACCTTTCTAAGCTTAATGTAAGCCCTATGGCTTCTGAAAAACCATAAAAGATGGAGAAACTTTACATTACTAAATTGAAAAATTTCTTCCTAGCAAAAATGCACCAAGTCAAAGTTGGGGAAAAAAATATTTGCAGTACACGTGACCAGAACAGTACTAATATCCTCCACTTAGGGAAAATTCCTAAAAACACACCAAAAATGACACCACAGCGAACCAGGTATTCTTGGTAAGAGTAAAAATTAGTACAACCATTTTGGAAGGCAAATTGGAAATAATACTTACATTAAAAATGCACATGCCCTACAACCAGTGATTCTGCTTTTAGGAATGTATCTTGTAGTCCTACCAACAGATACATGTACTTGACACTGGATGCCCTTTTGCAATGCCTACATTTTCTGCTGTGTGTACGGTGACTCTGAGCACATGGAAGGCATAGAAACACACATAATTTTTTTAAAACTATAATATTCGTAGCCATCTTCTGTTCCTGGGTTCTCATAGCCATGCTCGGAGTAGATTATCCATGATCCCTGACTCCTGCTGAGCCAGCTTTGGGATGTGGGACTGGAATTCAGATACAAGCCACTCTCTGCTAGTCCAACTAGCTGTGAATCGCCACACTTGGGTGCACAAGCCCTGCAAGCTAAGACAGAAGAAGGAAACTCAGACCATGTGGCCCCTCCTGGAGACTCAGAGCTCCTGCCTCTGGATTCCCGAGAGGCTGCAGGCAACTCTCTTGTCTGACTTGCCATGACATGAGATGCTCCTGTATTCTTTCCACATACTCCCCCTCCTCAAATGTCGTCTGTTTCTTAAGTGAGCTGGAGTTTATAACCAAAATATTCTTGCCTAGGAGATTCAGCATAAACCCATATTTACCCCAGAGAAGCTGAGAAGAGGCTTTCTCTAAGGGGAACATGGAGAATTCATGTGACGAGGGGCATTACGGTATTTGTCCATTTGTACAGTACTTCTCACAGAAAGGATCTCACAGGGACGTTGGCAATGATGTAGCAAAGGTTTCTACACCCCTTTTACAGATGTAAAAGCTGAGGCACGAGATGGTTAAGGGATTTTCCCCAAGGAGGAGTGAGGTAATGGGCCCTTTCAATATGCTTTTGGATTTTCTAATATACAATGGTAAAAATAAAATAAATGAGAAGAAAAGAGCCTTTGCATCTGCCCTTCTGTCAGCTGACTGCTTTATTCTCTAGCTGTGTCCTTTGGCCTACCGACCTCCACCTGCCTCTCTAGTATGTGATACGCAGGCCTTTGGCACCCAGGGTGGCTGCCCTGAGTTGCAGGACCCCCCACCTTCCCCTGCCTCACCTCCAGGCTTCTGGAAGCAGTAGCACCATTCGTTGTTGGAGAGCTTGCCATCCTTGAAGGAGTCACAGGAGTTGAAGAGAGGCTTGATACAGGGCTCATACTTATCCAGGTAGATGGCATTGATCTCTGAGTGGTCAAGCAGGAGGTCATAGTTCATGTCCAACTTGTTGAACATCCAGCCCAGGGAGTCCTTGCAGATGGGCAGGATGCTGGTGTCAAATCCTGCAGAGAAAAGGGTGCATCTCAGTGGCCACCAAGCCTGGTCTGGCCCCACCCAAGACGAGGCCCAGGGCCCACATCCCTCCCTCTCCCCTCCTGAGGCATGTTCCCTCCAAGGGTCAGTCTCAGGGGCACCCTACTAGAAGATACTATTGTTGGAGGGGAGTTAAATAAAATAATTTAAAATGCTCTTAAACAGAAATCAGCGTTTGAGAAAAGTATGTCCCAAAGGGACAAACTCCCCAACACTAATTTATCTGGGATGTAAATACGAGTTTTCATTTACCAGACTTGCTTAAAACAGGGTATGCCCAAAAGGAAGAGTACAAACATGGTGAGTAAAAGGAAAAACTTGGGATTCTGCAAGCTACACTTTTATGTTTAGGGAAAAATACCCGAAACACCAAAAGAAACTATTGTAAAAAAAGATGGCAGTGAAATGAAACTATATAGCACAATCCAGAAGCACTGATTATGTCCCAAAGGACTGTTAAATCCAAGCTGTCTGAACCTTAATGGGAAAACAAGCCAGGTACCTGCCTCTGTTCCCCATTCTTCTTTTCTGCAGTCCCCTCAAGAGATACATGATATGGAATCCAAATTGACTCAGACAATAATTTCTTTCTTATTTCCCTGGGGGAGGAGGGGTAGTTTTCTTAAAGAATTATTTGTTTCCACAATGGAACTGTACGCACTAGAATAATAACACTTTGCTTAACACTCAGGATATTGAGTCTACTGTAGACAACCCCCAGAGAAGGCCTGCCCCAAATCTAAAATTGGTCTTTCTTTCAGAATCAAAAGCACTATGCAATTTCAAATTGTTCCATAAGTTGAATTTGTAGAAGTGGTTTTATTTTCCCAGGAAAATTACTGTAAAAGTTCATTTTTCTGTTATTTAAGGTAGTCCTCTAAGCACCTTATTTTTAATTATCTCACTGAATTCTTCTAAAGAGTCCTCTAAAATGCTCTATGCCTTCTACTTTACAGAAGGGGACAAAAAAAAAAAAAAAAAAAAACTCAAGGCTTAAGTGACTTGTTCAAGATCCTATAATTGTGGACCCAGGCTCCTAAGGCAGGTGGCCCAGCCCTGAGTCTACATTCTCAATCCCTTTTCTCCCGGGGCTGCCTGTGCCTCTCGTGATCCTCTTACTTTGAGGACATCCAGTTGGCTTAGGGACCATGCTTGAGGATAGGCAGTGCAAGCGGGGATACAGCAGCCACATCTGAGGCCCTGATGGGGTTGACTGCCCACTCCCTGCTCAGCGGGTTGCTGTGTGCATCACCAACCCCTGCTTGGAAGATGTGAGACACAGCAAAGGGCACCCACCCTTTTAAAAGCCTTGGTTTTCTACAAAAGGGTCTTTACTGTCCAGAAACCAGGGAAGTAAGTATAGCACCTCCACCTCTGAGCTCTTCCTGAACCCTCTGCTTCCCCTTACTGTCAGTTCATGTTCATCAGATGCTAAGCAACTTGAGGGCACAGAATGCATTGAGTAGCCTCTACCAGTGCAGGCAGGTAATAAGTGCTCAGTAAAAGCACGTGTTGAGAGAAGTTCTCTAGCTGCTGCAGAGTTTGGCCCTTCAAACATAAAAATCAGCTTTTAAATGTATTCCCATTGACACCTTATAACATGTCTTAGAAAACATCCCCCTTCTCAAGAGAGACTAGGAGACATAATAGGGCCTCTTCTTTGAAGGTCATGATTGTACCATCTCTACGATGGGGATGTCCTTAGGGGCTGCTGAGTAAAGCAAGATCATTTACGCTGACACGAAATGGCTCCACAGTTTTATATAGACTATTTTATGTAATAAGCATCAATTTTACAGGATATTAACATTTTAATACATGGCCAAGAGAAGCTTCCGGCTCACTGACCACCAAAGAAAAGTGCCAAGCTGGTTGGGCAGTAGTCTAAAGGTCAAGGCCCCACCTCCCCAACACCCATTTGGAAGGTTCTAGAGAAAAGGCAGCACCTGCATCCGGTATCTAGAGGTGGAGGAGGGGGAGAGAACAGCCCTTCTAGGTGGCCCCACGCATGTGGACTTGTAAGGTTCCATGGTTTCCTCTTCACGATGCCTGAACTGATAAAAACAACTCTCCCTCCTGTGGTCTTGTAGGCTAACCAAGCCTCGTTCCTTTATATTCCCTTCACTGCAATTGCTTCGGGACATCAAACCTAAAAGCCTCTTTGGGGACTCAATCTGCTTCTGGCCCAAAGGCAAGTCTTTTGCTAGCTCCCCAGCTGCCTGCAGAAGGAGTCTCATGGGACTGGAGGCTGCAAGGAGAAGCTCTCTGCATATCAATCTGCTCTTCCTTGAAGGGTTGTTCAGAAAGCCTGAGGGCTGGGCTGCTCCTAGAGGATCCCAGGGAAAAGTTCCTCTAGACCATCTGTGAATTAATTGTCCACAAACTCCCAAGGAAGCCTCCAGCAGGACTGGAAGAAGAACTATCTTCCTTCTTCTTGCCCACAGACTCACCCACCTGAAACCACTCTTTGGATACTTAGATCCTGAGAAGCAAACACTATCTTTCCCTTAAACTATAAGATCCAAACTAGTACAAGAATTGTCCCCTAGATCAATAATCTCTACCAGTCTCTATAGCTACAAGCCACAAAGAATAACCCAAAATTAAGGCGACTGTTCTTACTGTGGCCAAAGACCAGAGGGTGGTTAAGCTCTGGAACCTTAACAGTTGCAAAACTCCCTATGTTTCAACAACTGTGTTATTGGGTAGGACATTCTGAGCCACTGGGCCACAGCGTGGAGAAGCTTACCCCTAATCGCCTTTGAGTTCAATGACAGAGTCCATCAAGGTACACAAATGCTCACCCACTCTGAGTTTTCTCTAGCTTATGAAGAAGCTCTGAATACGGGCTCTGCTAATGCACTGATGGAGGGAAGGATACATTACTGAAGATATGTGGTACAGAGTTGCTTATGAAAGCTGAACATTAGGAATGACTTCAACGCTCCAAAACAGAGGCCTAATTACATAAATTCTATTACTTGAGATCCTATGTAGCTACTACAAATGCAATACTACTCAACAACATAGAAGGTCAAAGTATGTTGCTGAGTGCTAAAAGGTCATAAGACAGCCTGTGAAGTGTGTGTTGTATGTACATACAAAGACACATAGATTTTTTTTTTCCCTGTATGGCAAGGAAAAAAATGCAAGTAAATGCCACAACACGCTTACAGTTGTTAAAATGGTGAATTTTTAAATAGTTTTTGACTTTCCAAAGTCTCTATACTAGACATAGGATAGTTCTATGGCCAGACTTCAAAAAATTAAGTTGTTATATGGACGAGGGGGTGGGAATCAAGAAAATATTTTAAGTCGGCGTGTGCATTTAACATAGTGTTTCTTTGATTACCCCCAAAGGCTACTGTTAAATCAGCAGTGTCTAGTCACTACGGAAATGTGGTACATAAAATGAAATCAATTAGTGAGAATAAAGTGGTCTTACTGCCTGGAGCTGCGTCAGAGCTGGTGGGCTTGATGACCCTGTTGGCATCCTCGTGAAGGGCTCCAAACCAGTCTTTCAGCCGGGACGCAAGGTTCCTCAACTCCTTATCTGTGCAGGCTGCCGAAAAGCAAAGGAAACAAACAGTGTGAGTCCACGGACTTTCTCTTCTTCTTAGCTCTCTGCCCTCAATATGCAATGCCATCCACAAACCCATGCTCAAAACAAACTTCCCTTCCCAACTATGATGCAGTGCCTTATCCCCACTTGGAAAACAGCCCAAAGATGCTGCAATCGCAGGTAAGGAGCACGACAGAAAGCCTGGACCCCTGGGGTAAAGCAGCATTGCTCAGTACTGAATCTGGACTGCCTCTGAGCTGTTAAAACCAATGCCAACTCTCAGAGTCGTGCACCGGCCTCCAAAGACTAACAGATCCCTCTTGCTAACCCGATAGAACTTGCTACTGCAGTTGGCCAGAGATGACATTTTCCACTAAACTCATGCCAAGAGATTAACACTCAGGAAGAGCAAATGTCCTCAGTGAGAGGCTGCCTGGAACACCAAGAGATCCCAGTAACAACAGACTATCAATTTGGTTTTAGCCCAATGTCGGAATTTGCGCACATCGCCTATTCTGTTGGCCTTTTGGCAGAGAGACTTGACTTTCCCCTATAGACAGATGGATGCCACCTTCATCCAAGAGTCCTTTCTATTTGCACGCAGCCCATCTCTAACTATGAGGCTCATCTTTTAGGGTACACGGTAGGAACTGGGGCCAAGGAATACTCCTTCTGAGAACAAGAAGAAAACCTAAATGGGGTGGATGGGTAGGGGGGTGCACACTCTGTGAAGGTCTCCTAGGGTGCTGACGAAGGGCTTGAGGGGGAGAATCCCCAAAGGAGGAACAATGGTGTGGAAAAAGGAGCTGATTTAGCCTTGCTTCCAGATATCACCCTAATTCTGGGTACAGACAATCCTGATGAAGGGTCCAGGCAGTGGCCCACTTTTAACAGGCAGAAAAACTAGCCTTTAGCATCTGGAGGGTAAGAAATTGGAAACCCAAGGGGCCAAAATCCCAATAAGAAGGGACAAAGACACAAACCCACAACCGTTGCTTTTCCCAAATTCTAAAGCTACAGGAGACAGGCAGCATAGAAGTCAAGCAAAACACCATTATAATGCAGAGCCAAGTTCTAAATATCTAATGGAGCTGATGGGATGTAGATTAAGGCTGGACTCTACTGGTCTAGAGAGACTGCCAGCATCAGGCTCTTTACTGAAAGGCATGGGGGCAAGGATGAATGAGTAGACAGTCTTGCCAAAACTTCAGTCCAGCCTTTAATCAATGCACACTCTCACTGAACTGAAGGCATAAGCCCCCGTCTGCCTCCCAAAGAAGAGAATAGTATCATACAGATCTTCCCCCTCATTTTTACAACCCATGTCTGCTTTCTCTTTTAATTTTTTTTATTGTTATGTTAATCACCATATATTACATAATTTGTTTTGGTGTAGTGTTCCATGATTGTTTGTTCATAACACCCAGTGCTCCATGTAGAATGTGCCCTCTTTAATACCCATCACCAGGCTAACCCATCCCCCTCCCCTCCTCCCCTCTAGAAACCTCAGTTTGTTTTTCAGAGTCCATCATCTCTCCTGGTTCGTCTCCCCCTCTGACTTACTCCCCTTCATTCTTCCTCTCCTGCTATCTTCTTCTTTTTCTTTTTCTTAACATATGTTGCGTTATTTGTTTCAGAAGTACAGATCTGTGATTCAACAGTCTTACACAATTCACAGCGCTCACCGTAGCACATACCCTCCCCAATGTCTATCACCCAGCCACCCCATCCCTCCCATCCCCCACCACTCCAGCAACCCTTAGTTTGTTCCTGAGATTAAGAATTCCTCATATCAGTGAGGTCATATGATACATGTCTTTCTCTGATTGACTTATTTCACTCAGCATAACACCCTCCAGTTCCATCCACGTCCTTGCAAATGGCAAGATCTCATTCCTTTGATGGCTGCATAATATTCCATTGTGTATATATACCACCTCTTCTTTATCCATTCATCTGTCGATGGACATCTTGGCTCTTTCCATAGTTTGGCTATTGTGGACATTGCTGTTGTGGACATTGCTGCTATAAACATTGGGGTGCACGTACCCCTTTGGGTCCCTACATTTGTATCTTTGGGGTAAATACCCAGTAGTGCAATTGCTGGATCGAATGGTAGCTCTAATTTCAACTGTTTGAGGAACCTCCATACTGTTTTCCAGAGGGGTTGGACCAGTTTGCATTCCCACCAACAGTGTAGGAGGGTTCCCCTTTCTCCAGATCCCCGCCAACATCTGTCGTTCCCTGACTTGTTAATTTTAGCCATT